ATTCAAACTGGAGTGAAATTTATGTGATTTAGCATTCAAACAAAACACAGTATCAGCTGCTGGACATGCTTTATCCTGGCAGTCATGGAGGACTGAACACTGCAGCGTGAATGTAGGTTTCTCATGGACGGGATCAGATGGAGGAGCTGTTGGAGCTGTAGTGAAAGCTGGTTTTGGTCCTGACAAACACATCAATCATTCATGTTTATTAAAAAACAAATTAAAAATTTAATTATTTAAACAGTCCTTTTATTTACACATGAATAAATGTGTAAACACAAGCAAAAACTTTATACATGTTTTTTAAATGAGTAAACTATGTAAAGTCCCAAATTTTTGTAGGACCTAAAGGCGTTTTTGTGTACTTACCTTCAACTTTCAGGAATATTCCATTCAAAATTTTAAAGTCCTGTTTTCCTGTTTTCATACAGAAGTAAACTCCTGTATCACTTTGCCGTACTTTTGTAATATACAGAACAAATGCTCCAGGTTCTGTTGCAGTTCTAATGCGCTGATCAACACTCTCAAAACTAAATGACCTTCCTAAGATTTTAGGAAAGTCTCCAGAAACAAGCTTAATCCAAAACAAGGTTCCTACTTCCCTACGGGGGCACGTCAGTTTCATCTCCTTTCCAACAGGAACAATCTCTGTCTCGAAAATCTGTTCATCTGAGCAACCTGAGGAAAAGATCATACCTGTCAGTATGATCCAACACACAGAATCACCCGAATCCTCTTCTAAGTTTTCTGACTGTAGCACATTTTTAGTACAGGCAATCTACATATACTTACATCCAATACTAAGCATCAGATATAAATAAAATATATTCCTCATTTCTGGTCTTTCCTCTTGGTACTGCTGTATAAAAAACCTGGTGAAATGATTTGTCTAAATATAATCACATGAAGTGGGAGGAAACTATTTCAGAAGAACCCGATTGGCTTCTCATTGCGTTGGTATTCCACTGCGTCGTGGAAACAACATCAACCACCTTTCCAACCTAAGCACATGAAACAACACCAATCGTAGGCTCTGTCATCTTATGTTTGGTTCTTGTTGCGGGTTTCTCAAACTGAAACTTATAGAAAGATAAGAGATAGCAGAATTGTTTATATTGTATCACCTGGAAAGAAATGAACAAAAAACATTTTTTTTAGGTCCTTTATGCTGATCTACACAGTGGTGCAAGTGCAATGTTGACAGACTTCAAGGGGGAACTAGACCCTGTCTTAAAGAACTGCCTGTGTTCCCACCACATTTGTCCAGGTTTCCTCACAGACAGGTCGTGATGTTCTTTGAAAGACTGAAATGGTAAAATCACATACAAGTGATTATAAGGAGCAGAGGTCATACAAAGGGCACAATGTATCCAGTCTGAGGGTACCTTAACACAGACAAATCTGCACCCACAACTACACTGCACTGTAATGCAACAAAATAATCTATAAACTACCCTGATGGCCTGACCTTAATCCACGAGCCCTGGCTGGGCCTACACAACCTGGGCCTACAGCTTGCAGAGATGGTTAGGGGTCTGGTGCTTTGTAGATCAGGAAGGAGTCAAGGGCGGAGGACCTGGTGGTCCAATCCCCAATTGACAAACATGGCTATGCTGACAATAAACATAGATGAACAAGTTAGAATCCATTTATTCTAAAATTGATAACTCTAAACTAACTGCAAAGTTAACTAAAACAGATATCAAAAGTTGGGTGTCATAAGCTTATAAAAGCACTGGGCGTGTCAATTCAGTGGGTGCAGAAAACACAGTCCAAGGTCCACTCACACCCACTTGATCATCTTAGGTTGTAAGGGTTAACCCTAAACAATAAATTCCAACATTCCAGAATATTCCTGCCATTTTTAGTTTCAATGAAATAACATGAAATTGTGATGGCTGTAAGGTTCTCATGACGTAGATAAAAGAGGAGAAGATATTGTGCAATAGTAAATATTTCTCTCCAGAAATAAGTAATGTAAAACTTGAAAGAAGGCCCAGGTCTAAATTGACCTGCATCTTATTATGAAGGCATGGAATATGAATAGTATGTAATGTCTAATGAATTATTGCAAAAGTAAAAATTGGAAGTTTAACATCTCATTCACATATGCATCGTCTTCAACAAGCTTCTTACCATTTCTCATCCACTGTCCACTCTGCTCAGACTGCAGCTCTCTTCACCCCTGCTTCTTAGACCTGAAAGCCATTTCAGCTGCTCTGCTTCAGATTTGATTCTTTATTCATTTGGATTAGCAAGTCACACTCTGGACTCTATGCTCAACTTTGCTTTGAACAGCCAGAAAACTGCACTGATCTGCATGTCCAGCTACAAGCTCTGCTATGCTCAGCCCTATTCTGTCCTGGATAAACATCACATTCAACACCAGCAGCCCAGTAGAAGTTATTATCTTTTATGCAACTGCAGTCTCCCTTTTATTTATCTGCAAGTGCATTCACAACATTTTCAGAAAACCTGATCCCCAATCTTGAGGTCAAGGTCACTGAGATTTGAAGTCGTCCAAGATTTCTGGTAGATAAATCTAAAGTATTAATTTGGAAATCCTACATCACTTCATTCTCGAGTCATCGCATTCACAAGATTTTCAAAATAATTTGACCTTTGACCTTGAGGTTGAGGTCGACATTTGAACTCATTCAAAATTTTCAGTAGATACACCTATGTTATCTATTGGTTCATTATTGAATTATCGCATTCTCAGACTTGGGTGTCCACATTGCCCGCTTGGACAGCAGGGTAATGTCAATACCCCATCAGCCTTTTGCAGCTGAGGGGTAAAAACAAAATGTACATTTTCCCTTATTTTTTTGCATAATTTGCCTTTTCTTTGTGTGACAAACACAATTCATAGTCTTCATAGTCTCGATACATGGAAACTTAAGCATTTCTGTGGTTGGGCTTTCAAATAAAGGTGTGAATAGAAAAGCGACTTTTCTTTTCTTTAATCTCAGGAAGCTTGGCTCGCAGTACCGTTTTATCAATTCATAGCATAACAAACAGCTTACAAGAGCGTCAAGGAGGTAGAACAGGAAAGAAAACATCTCCTTGTCACATTCTTCACTGGTCTCTGTGGCAAGGTTTTAATTATTGCCAAAGAACTGGCTATGCTTTACTTAGCACAAATATGGATAGGCAGCTTGTCAAAATTAATAATCAGTGACCTAGTAATGCAGTTGCATGACTGCTGCATGCAACTGCATTACTTTGTGATATATATTGGTAAAAAAGACACCAGTGGTTTAAAAGAAGAAAAACAAATGTCTCCTTTAAATTGTAAGGGAGGCATTTTTCAAAGTTTTTTTTTAACAGGTTTGTAAGAAAGACTTTGACTTGGGAAATGGTGTTTGGGTGGATGTTTTTCATTTTTATTATAATGCACAAAGAATAGTCACCTGACATTGGATGGAAGACCAGGGCCCCATACTATGAAGCTTGTTCAGCATACCCAAGATGTCTTTTCATCATCTGGATTCACTTACCCTAACACTGGCAGTAATGATAATTGGTCACACGAAGCTGGTTATCAGCTCGCTAATCTAACCCAGGGTTTCCCTTGTGCATTCACGTGAAAGTGGTAGTGATGCTGCCAATAATCTATCAAAATTATGTTTCACAGGTTACATGACTTTTTTTAGAACAGCAATTTATCCTAATGCTTGCCACCTACTCAAGAGACATTATCAGACAGTGATTAGTAGTTGCGATCCAGCAGTAGATTAGAATAAAGTATAAGACAAATAAAGTATAATAACATTAGTGGAATCTAAAGTATCTTTGCTGATCTTTAAAAAAATAATGTAAATCTGAATTCGTAAAACTATTAACACTCCCCAAACTTAATCTTATATCCTTATTTTATGAAATATTGTGGTTACAAAAGCTGATAGCACTTTATATTAATGCCACACTATTAAGCATTGCTAAGGTATTAGTAAAGTATTAACAAGTACTACATTCATCATTTATATAGTATTACCCCTCCTTACTATGTTATATATGAATACAAATGCATTATTATGACTATGATGACAGTCAATAAACTTCTACTCTTGACGTCCATTGATGTGCCTTTTCAATGTCACACTTAGCCTTTTTATAGATGTTGTTTTTATAATAAGCCCCACGTTTCCAGAGGGTGGAGGGCACGTTTTCTCTACAGAAACAGTTATGTGTGAGGGAATGCAGAGTGGTCAGTGGACATCTGTCTCTCCTGCTGCTTTGAGCATGTACATGACAAAAGAATTTCCCTCAGGATAAATAAAGTTATTCTTATTCTTATTCTTATCTTCAAGATGGTGTGGGTTCTTGAGCTAAAAAGTTAGCAGCTGAGTGATGGATTTAGAGTAGAAATGTCCCCAGCTTCTCACAGACAGTTTACAAAATTTGTACATCGACAAACACTGTCGAGCTGTCCAGTTCATTCATTCATACAAACTTGCACAAACCCTTGGTACTTTCTGTCACAACATCTCTCAGAGCAGGCCATCGATCACAACCACATTCACTTCACCCTACAAAGTTCTTCACAATAAAACAGGAAATCAACTTCACTAACATAAAAACAAACCATATATAATGCAAATGCTTTTTTTAAACTTATTAAACACATTGCACTCCTTTTAACATGAGTTTTAAAACTTTCTCTAAATACAACCATTGTTATTTTACATTTTAACATGGATTTTAACATTTTTAATATTTCAGCACATTTTAATAGTTTTCAGTTTTACCTGGTTTCAAACTAATAAGTTGATTAATTAAAACAAATAAACCAGTTACAGAAAATCAGGAAAATATAAAATAACAAACAAAAAAATCCACATGTACTAAATAAATCAATAGGCTAATGCATAATAAACCATGTTTGTTTATAAATAATCTATGTTCATATGTATCATTTTGATAACAACAATGCTAATATTTGTATATAAAAAAATATTACATTTATTAATTGTGTAAATTCCCTGCACCTCTCACGTGCGTCCACATGACATCCAAAAAACGTACACAGTCCAAAGTTAAAATGTTGAACGTCAAATTGGGTCAGGGCTGGACGTCAAAATCATGGACCAAGTTTAGACGTCGTACAGATGTCCAGAATTGGTGATTGACCAATGGACCCAATATAGACGTGAGCTATTGGACGTCTGTCTGACGCCCAATATTTTGTGGTTCACATAGGTCAATTTTGTTGAAGTGTTTTAAATTGCACTGATGCATTAAAGAAAGGTTAAGATGATGAAATATGCATGTTAAACAAAGGAAAGATGGGAAGCCCCCTTTGCAAGTCCGTAAGCATTTATTTAAATATATAGCGTCATAGTTTATCGGCAAAATGTATATTTTACACTTCCAAAAGAGCATTAAAAATACAAACTGGACAATAACACAATGTGATGTTAAAATCATACATGTTATTATAATATAATTTGTGGGTTTCAAAAGTAAAATAGAAGACATATGTTGTATGACATTGTTGTTTGTCATACAAACATTTGTAATTGATAATATCACTTAAAATTCAGTTTAAAAATAGTTATTTTACTGCAGAAGCACTGATATCAGAGTAGACTGTTGCTTCCTCTTCTGCTTTTTCATGTCTTCTCACTAGTTTGCCACTTTTCTTTATGGTGAAAGTTGCTACTGAATAAACCATCGAGTTCTCACCTCTCTGAAGAAATAAATACAATTTTTGGAGATAAATAAGTGAAAAAAAAATTCAAATGCCATTAATTTATCTTTGTTTCTGATTTACACCTTACCTCCTGATTCTCGTGATTTCCGCTGGTTGTTCCAAGATCTGTGTCTGAAACAAAAAAATTAAGATGAAAGACACTCTTGGCTGATTTTAAAAAACAACTATGTAAATCAATTCAATTCAGTTTTATTTAAAATCACAACAACAGTCACCTCAAGCTTAATCAAGCGACACTTTTGCAAAATAATGTTAGATAGAGAAGGGAGAACTTACCAGGGCAGCAAACACTTAATTTCTTGATGAGGTAGGCTATAACAAGTAGACTTGTAGCCAGTGCAGCAGATAACAGAAAAAGAACTGTATTGGCCTTCTGCAAGTCCCATGTGCTGGGCCCTGGAAAAATGTAAGAATCCCATCATTAGGCTTTTTGTTTTTGTTGTTACATTAGAAATTTGACAAACGTATTCAGCTGATAATAATATATTCTGAATTATTTGATAAACGTTGGACATTTTACCCTTAATGTTCAGCTTTGTTCCATTTCCAAAAATGATCTGTCCACATGTGGCCACAGCACAGTAGTAAGACCCAGCATCAGCAGTGCTGACGTTCTTGGAGAAGCTATAGTCACATTTGTATTGCGAAGGATCCTCAAGACTCTTGTTACATTCATCACCAGTATTTCCATGAGCATAGATTAGACTGGGTTGAGACTCTGTTCCAGCTCTGAACCAAAACACACTGTGATTTCCAGAACAAGTTTTCTTCTCAGTGTTAGAGAGGAGTGAACACTGCATAGTTACTGGATCTCCTTGATAGACATGATCAGATGGAGGCATTTGAAAAATGTCAGTGACATCAGGTTCTAGTTCTGGAAAATATAAAAGACGAAATAGTTAAAATATTTCATTCACTTCACCGAGAAAAATAAAAATGAGATTTTTCGAAAAAATAAAACATATTGACCTTTAATTGTAAGAAACGTTCCTTTTAAAAATGTCATAGCAAGCTGCCTGACTTTTATACAGTAGTAAAGGCCAATGTCACTAAGATTAACTTTACTTATATCAAGAGTAAAAGTTCCAGGCTCTTGTTTTGCTGTAATATGGGGAGTTCTGTTAACACCATTATAGTCAAAGGTAAATGTTCCTCCCAAGAATTCAGCTGAGCTTCCAGAAACTATCCTTATCCAGTACATGGTTTCTTTGTACTCAGCTACTCGGCGTGGGCATTTCAGAGTCACATAATCTCCAACAACTAAACTCTTTGTTTCAAAGAATAGATCATCTGTGCATCCTGAAAATAAAATGTGAAAAAAAGCAGTGAGAGGTAGATTTGTAAGTGCTAAATTGTACAAATATATGAATAAATAAATAAATAAACTTACTACCAACTCTGACGCTCAGCAATATGTAAAATATTATCAGCATTTTCTGATTAATCCACTTGCAGCTCATTTCTTAAAGCACACAGCATTTAAAACATATTATAAGATGATGCAACTGAATATAATCACATCGAGTGGGAGGGAACAATTTTAGAACAATCTGATTGGCTTTTTATTACATTAGTGCTTCACTGCACAACCACAGTGGAAATAATATCAACCATCTTTCCAGTCTAAACATATGAAACAACACCATCAACATGCTTTTTTTTATGGTGGGTTTCTTCATTTCTGAGGGCGTAAACCTAAGAGATGACACAGTAAACTAAAACACAAAAACAGAATTGTCTGGATATTTTCTAGAATATAGAGGCAACAGACTTTATCTTACCTAACATGGTCAAGCTATTTAGGACTCATAAAATTGTTACCATTATTAGCATGACCCACGATCATAACATAAATAAGTGAGGAACTTTTTAAAGCATTCGTTGCTTTGAAAAGTATAACTTAACATTTAGGCTGGCCTTGGTTTATGGTTAAGCTAAGGAGTACTTTCTTAAGGTTAGGAAACACATTGTAATGGTAAATTAACCGTTACAATATTGCTGTAACAATATCAATGATCTAATTCAACAATTTAATGTTGTAAAGAACATGTGATATAAATAATTACGTAAATTGAATTACTATGAGTCACACCCCCAAAACACTGGATCTCTCATTTTCCTTAATGCACCTGAAAGGCATTTTAGTAAAGTTTCCTTGACTAATCTGCCCAATACTCAGGCTTTTATAATGTAACTGCAAAGATGTCCAAAATGAATGTATCACCAGAGATTACCAGGCTCACTTATCTATTTATTACATTTTAAAAAATACATTTACAAGTCTCAAAACCTCACACTACCAAGTCTGAAATACTTTGCTTAATGATGTCCAACCTTTCGCTACAACAATGCATAATCGGACAGTAGCTGCCCAAGATTCGATTCAGTAGTTTAGATTCAACTTTACTGCCTCTGTGCAAAATGCAGTTAATGACATGAACATTATTAATGATTACCAAAAAATTTCAACTGCTGCTTCACCTGAAACACACAAAGAGACACAGAAGCATGGAAGCATTGTTGTGTTTAGGCTTTCAAGCAAAGGCATGGATAGGACTTTACTTCCTGTCTCTGTTTTAATCTCAAGTAACTGGTCTGGCATCACTGTTTTTCAATCTATGCTAAAAAAGGAAAATGTAATATTATTAGAGTGACTAACATTTATATTTAAACAATTTACAAGAGCTGTTAAAGTGTATATGAGAAAGGGACACATACAGAGATCTGCTTAGATTTGGTGTGATCAGTAAAAGCTACAATTTACTGTGGTCTGGCATCTTTCACTGGTACTTACAGAGAAACAACAGAACGTGCTTATCATTCACTCGTCTTACTCTGATCTTTTTTTTTCCTTTAAGGGCAGAATTTTAATTGGTTGGCAAACTATAAACTATAAAGTTGGTTTGGCAAGCCACCAAAGACTGTTACAATGTGTTTCACTTAGCACAGTAAATATTTGGTGAAAGCACAAAATGAGATCCTTTCTGAGTCAGCAGCTTCAGTGGTTGGTCAAAGTGCAGAGAAACACGCCACCACAATCTTCACCTGTCAGTTTAGTTGTTGAATGTGTGTTTGCTTTTTATTGTCTTGAGATACTGAAACTTAAGCTTAGCTGAAGAATCTTTTCATTGAAGACAGACCCTTAAAGCCAATGTTCAATCAGTGGGTTTCATTTGCATTTGTATCACTGCTAAAAATGCTAAGCTCTACCTCAGTGGCTATCTCTTTTCTGTGTGTGTCTATCTCTGTCAAAAGGACTTAGTAGTGAGTTTTCCCAAATTCATGAGGTTCTTTGTTTTTTTTCTTTGTTTTGTGGATTCACAATGACTTGAAAAACTTATAAATGATGAATCTAGCTAATGTGGTGCCATCCTTTAGTTTTTTATGTAGTTTATGGTTGAGCTTAGCTACAGAAAAAAAACTTTGATTAGAAATGCTACCATGTTTAACCATTCCAATGGTAACATTTATATATGATTTAGTCAACAGTATATTTGTTAAACAAACAAACATGAAGCAAAGATCAGCCTGTGAATAAAACCGTTTCTTTCAGAACCCTTATATATAGAAAACCTACAGTTTAGAGCTTAACAGGTGTGTGTCAAAAACACAACAGGAATTAATGTAGATGTGAAAAGGAGATTTGTCGACATTGTATCTAAAATGCTGTCATGCTACTGACCTGTGGTCACTTATCAGGAGATGCTGTTTGGTGAAGGAACTAAAGTGCTGACAAGTTTGTATTTAAATTGTTAATTCATCTTAAGAGTTTGAATATGAGTGAAAACATCAAACCAAGCACTGTGATACAGTTAGTAAATATTTAAGTACAACATAGGATTGCTACTGAGTGACAATTTGAAATGTTGTGTAAAACTGTGAATACGGAACTGATAAACAAATAAAAATCAAGATTTGCCATTGTCACAGAAGCAGAATTTTTCATACATTTCCAGTAACTGCCTAATTCCATATTTCTAAAAAGCCTCTCCAACTCGTTTATTTATTTATTTATTTTTTCAGAATTAGGCCTTTCTGTGATTGTTCTTAGACTACTGGTGTCCTGCTGAGCTGTGATTTTCCTTCTATTAGCCACTTCATTAGTTACACGTTGCTTTTGGTTTGTTGGACAGTTGCTAACATATATTCAACAAGGTGCTGGAAAGATTCCTCAGAGACCTTGATCCATATTGACACCATGACATCAGATATTTGATGCAATGCAGGATGGATCCATGACTTCATGCTGCTCAGGCCAAATTCTAGAAATCACAGCAGAAAGGGAGAATCTTCAACAGACACATTTTGATGTTGATGATGTTGCTGACATTACCTATCTGTCATTTGAGATTACGAACTGAAATGCAAAATACTTTCACTCAATATAATTTATCATCAGCTAAAAATGTAGAATAAAAACAAAAAAAAATGTAGTAATTTAAAATACATAATTTATGCTTTAATTACTATCAGCAATGAAACATGTTGCTGATTTCTTCCATAAAGTATGAATAGAACCATGAAGGCTGTCCACTTTAACTTTTAGAGGACATTTGCAGGGCGTTTGAAACACAGCTGAAAGGTTTGCATGTTTTCTGCAGGATGTGGTGGGCTGTGAGACAAAAGGTGCAGTTGGCTGAACTTGTTGATGTGAAAACTCCTGTGGCCAGCCTGTTGTGGACAGTAATAAGTCACTATGGAAGAATCTGTGCTGTCATGTGCCGTCCATCTCTCTTGGAAGAGACGGAGGAGGAGTTGTACCTTCTTAAAGCAAACAATTTTACAACTTTTTGTTCTATAAGCAATAATATCTAATCCTAAAACTGGACACCTGCACTGTACTTGCTGACCTCATCTTTGCTCTCAAATTCTAAAACAGCACAGAGTCTAACTAAAACTGTTGGGAACAGGTTGTGTTCTGAGATTCAGTTTAAAACTGGCTTGGAGTGCCACGTTTTCATTTATTCTTTTATTTACAGCATGTAAAGTGTATTATAGATTCTCTGCAGGTAGAATATGTTTTCTATGTGACATTTGTTCTCAAAACCACTAAATGAAGTGCAAACTGTGGGTCGCCTTGTCCTGGGAATGTCATTGTATTAATTTGATGACATAGAAAGTGTAAAAATGTTGTTATATGTGATTCTAGTCTGCTCTCTTTTACTCTGGTGCTACCTGAGGTAGAACACGTCAAGAATACCCGTTCAATAAATCAAATTCTTTTCACTTTTATTTGCATCAAACTGAAGCAATTTCTATGTTTCCTTCATTAGGCTGTTCAATGTTCGTGTCCCACTGTTGTGGAAGTTTTCCATTAAATAAAGCCTGCAGACGAGCGGTGAGCGGTAGCTAACATTCTTTAATCCAAACACACAAAGAACAGAAAACCAAGCTTGTGGAGAGCCTGCATGACCGCAGAGTCCCACTGAGCCTAGCATGGCTTCTTCAGGAACAACCTGCAGTACACAGCTGTTTCACACCTTACGGTTCACACTCCCTTGCTACCTCCCAGAGTCCCAGAAGAGACAAAAGATTCTTCCTGTGGAGTTGTCTGCTTCCCCCCAACTTCCTTACTACACCCCCACCATTTGTCTTAATGTATGAGTGTGAACATGTTAAAATCCAGTGGCACCAAGGCATTATACAATAAAATAATGTTATTAATACATAAGTAAAAGAAATTCCTATACACCCACACGAACATTTATTTTTCAAATAAATCCAATTTAAAGTTTCAGTTTTTTACAACAGTGTTGCATTTTACTGATATATATTTACAGATGTTTAAGCGCCATCTGATAATATTTCTGTTGTAGGGATCATTTTCTTTGGAAGAAGAGTCATAATTTGTGAAATGTCCCTCTTCGATTGGTCAGATGCTGCCAACAACACCCCTTTTGTATAAATGTGTAGGGGAAAGCCTGGGTTAACTTTGCGAGTTGACAACCAGCAATGTTCGACCATTTATTGTGATCGACAATGTTAGGGTAAGTGAATTCACACAACAGAAAGTTAACCTAGGTATGCTGATTAAGTTTTGTGGTATATTCCCCAGGTTAAACTAGTGCAGCTCGTAAAGTGAGGTGGTGTAGCCTGTTAAAAAAACAAAATCTGAATGTGCAGTTTTTGGATGAAATTCCATCATTCATTACATCATTTATAGCAATTTTTCTCATAATCACACTTCTTAACCCCATGGTGGTGCTAGAGGAAAAGTTAGAATATTGATCACCATCATTTTGCTATCTCAATCAGCCCCTCAGAAATGTGTGGAATAGAAAGCATGTTTGACATATCCAAGGACTGTTTCATTTTGCTGCCCCGAGTAAACTTCCATCAGAGATAATGCTTAGTACAGCAGTGGTGACTGACTGTGTTGTGTAATCACATGTTTTTAGGCTTTTCTTTCTTCCATTGAAAGATGATATTTCCCTTATTCATAATATATATGAAAGATTGTTTTGTAGTTCGAGCAGTTGAGTGATTTGATTTTGTGATATACACTTACCATAACTACAATTTTAGTTTTCCTCCTATGGGAATGATGAATGTGCAATTTTTTTGGAAAGAAGAATAAGTGAAAAGTTTGACCTCCTTATAGCATCAAGACAAACTACTAAATAAACAAAGTTTATAAGTTTCATCTGTTTTTCATTAGTTTATCTAAGTCTGTTTCAGTCTACCGAACCACAAAGAAAAAAAAATGTCTTGATTAGCATAAAACAGAATAACAAATGCATTTGAATAGAGGCAACACTTTTCACACAAAGCAGGACGATTCCAGGAAATGCAGGTTGACTGTAAAGACTGTGATAACCAATCAGATGTTGACCTGGATCACATCATCCTCCTCAGTCACTGAAATATCAACAAGTTTCCTAGTAAAGGCATTGTCACGATGATGCTGTTATTGGTAACATTTCTTCTACTTCACCATGGACGTGAGTTTTATCTAACTTTATAACCTACTATTTATTTATTTTTGCCACAATCTGCAACCAAAGTAAACATGTGACAGTTAATAAGGATTTTTGTGTGTCCCGGTTATTTATATTCAAGACAAATTTCCCAGTTTTTTATGTGTTTTGTTTACACTCACTGCAGATATGCTGGAGCAAGTGACCACAGTTCAACTTGGTGAACCTGTAACTTTGACATGTGTTTTACCTCCTGGTGATTTAAGCAGTAAAATTCACTGGTACAAGCAGAGAGCAGGGGAAACTCTGAAACTGATTGCGACACTGCGGCAAACTGCACATCCTCAGTATGGACAAGGGTTTAATGCCTCAAGACTGGAAGTAAAAGACAATAAAAACATCAGCAGTCTGACCATATTCAGGACAATCCCAGAAGATGAAGGAATGTATCACTGTGCAGTCATGGAATGGAATGTGAATGCTTGGAGTGGGACATATTTGTTATTAAAAGGTAATTATGTGATTGCAGCCTTTTGGATTCACTGTAAATACTCAACCATCTGACAACAACTTTTTCACATGGTGGGAAAAATAACTATAGATTATATATGAATTTAATAAATCATAGTTTAAACATCATATTAGGTATTTTAATGTGTTTGCAAATCGATTCCAAGTTTTCCTTTTCGAGATGCACTGTTATCATTAATTTTTCAATAAAAATTAAAAAACTGTGTTTAGAGGTAATTTTTAAACACTGTTTTTTGTCTATTCAGC